TCTCTGTTGGTTTGGTTGTCCTGTACAGACATCACTTTTGTGTCGCTTTATATGTTTATTAGGTGTGAAACGTGCGCACTAATATGTTATGGGTGGTCTTCTAGCAGGGAGTCATGGCCAATAAGAAGGACATGTAATTATTTATCTAATTAAAGTTTCTAAAGGTACTGCTTACCTGTCCTCCCACCGAACATGACCACGATGTTGCATGTAGGTAGCTTTATACTAATATTGTTTTCATGCAGGTCAAATCTTTTTTTACTTTCCTCATATACTTTTTAGAGTCTTTAGGAGAGTCTTATATTAAAAAAAAAAGGTACGGGCACGAGTTTCGAGGTGCTTAACGGGCGGAACCACTTGACGAGGACCAGAAGCAACAGACTTGAGTCTCTTACCTTAATTATAAATCTCATTTATATATAGAATTAAGATCAGGTGTGTACTTATGCGATGTTTGACCGTATTTTATTATTTTTGGGATATGCTGCTGACCCAGTGACACCCAGCCTTTTATTCTTTCATATTTGGCTTGTTTTACTTCCCTATTTCTTACATGTGCTTGCCTATTACGCCCTTTTTACTTGTGGGTTGTCTAGAATCATCATTATCATTTAGGCTCTCAAAGAACCTAAAACTTATAAAAATCTTTTAAAAAATCCTAATAAAAGATTAAGACTAATCAAAATTTAGGATTGAAATATTCAAGAATTTTTAAAATTTACCTTTATTTTCTTGCATAGCCTTCGGGCTGGATTTTAAATGGGTTGTATTGCATGTCTATCACTGAAGTCATAACTAATAGGGTTTCCACGCTTAGAACTTACTAGACAACTAAGTCATACTTGCATGTCCCGAGCAGAAACCCCGGTGCTTCTCCAAGCTGACTAACCCAACATATATTTATACTTAGGTGGTCATGTAATGCGCTTAGCGTGTTAGTGACTTCCCCGACCCAGATGGGGAGTAAGTCTTTTGTGGGAGCAATTTCAACTTTATAGCTGGACCTCTATCTATTTTCACTACAGCGTCTTCCTCACCACTTTGGCAAGTATAAGTTTCATTTGTACTTTTTCTAGCTATACATAGGGTCATAGGATTAGAGTTTCTTTCTCTTGGTATTAGGGCTATCGAGATACCCTTGAACGACGCAATTCAAGGATTGCTGACAAGAGAGTCTCCAGTTGTTAGTAGACTTTGAGTCCCAATAGCTTGGAATGATAAATTTGTAGTATCATGACCCGGTTATCTCTACCCGATTAAAATTACTCTTTCCTTCCTTTTTTACCCTTTTTAAGCCCCATCGCTCCTTTTGACGCTTCGTTGATGTCGTTTCGTAGGCCCCGATTGCGGATAGACTATCACCTATTTGGGATACGATGATTCGCCCTCTACCCTTATGACCCGGTTAGGCTTTGGAAGCATAGTGCGGACCCTACGAGTCGACAGGGTTATTTCATGAGCCTTATGCGTCGATGAGTCGCTACCCATTTGGGATGTGAGAGATCTACTCTTTGCCCAGTGGCTTGGCGAGAGATTTCAAAGGCACAAGATGTTTCTGTGAGGTAACCCTCCTTTGTGACACCTTGTACTAAACTTCACTTTAATGTAAGCAAGACTTCTCTAATTGAGAGTATTATTGGGCGTTCCCCAAGATGTAATTAACCAAAGGGATGTGTTCTTTTGGGAGTTGGTCTTGACCCCATACCAAAATATTTTTTTGGTTCTCTAGTTATTTGGGTAGCTTATGTGAATATTCTTTCATGGATATTTGGTTCAAGGTACCTCGATCCAATCCTATTCGAACGTACACCCTTGACCTATCGTATGAAGTTTTCCCCACATAAGCTCTCCAAGTTCTTCTCATTTTGTCTATCTAGTCAATGTCTTAATTCCTTCTCTTATAATCCCTCCTCTACTCTAAATTGTTTGTATAATTCAAGTAAAAGGGCCCATTGAAAAAGGGAATCCTAAGGCAATGATCAGAGAGGCTGGCGACTCTGACTTACAGAAAGAATCGAAACAAACACAACAAATAAGCTAAAGCTCATTGGCAAGCAGAAAAAATTTTGGATTTATCTTTAACTCACTATAGAGCCGAACAATCTGAATGTGAATAACGAGTTATATAAACGAGAATCAAATGCATCAAAAAAATTCTATTTTGCGGCTTCAATTTTAAGAAAAAAATTTAAAACATGATAAGGGCATCAAACTTTGTTTTTTTTCTTGATTGTTAAGTATAAGCAATCTTTTTGAGTAGTTAGAAAAGTAAACATATAGAACTTCACCTATAAATATGTATGTATAATTATAAATACATATATTCAATTTTTTTCTATAAGTCTAGCCTTTATCAATCCAAATAATATATGTACATATATTTAAACATACATACATACATTTTTATACCCATGGTGTCCATTATTATTATTTCATGTTGGAAGATTCATGACACTAGAATGATAGTTTGAAGTCTTAGCATTCCACAAAAATCCAACACAAAAATAAAAGAAAAATATTAGGAGAAATCACCAAAACTTTTACGTAGAAAACCCTAGAAATAGAAAAAACCACACGGTCTAGCCCAAACAAAGTAATTCGCTATGTAATTGTAAGTATATAGGTTCACTCTTCTAAAAAATTAGAAAAGATGAAATTACAAATTTGATAATCACATATGTACAATAGTAGTTAGCTATAATAGTCATAATTACGCTACAAAAAATATATTTCTTCGTTATAATATAAATAGCTGGCCACAAAGATCATAGTTAGTTACTACAAAGATAGTAGTCGGTCACAAAGGGTATAGTCGATGGTTGCAATAACAATAGTTGGTCACAAAGGTTTTAATTCGAGGTTATAATAGTAATAGTTGACTAGAAAAATCGTAGTTGAAAGCTGTAATAGTAACATTTGGGCACAAATGTCGTAGTTGAAAGCTGTAACAATAGTAGTTGACCACATAAGTCATAGTTGGTGACTGAAATATCGTTAGTTGGTCATATAAGCCGTAGTTGGGGATTGTAATATCGTCAGTTGGTCACATAGGTCATAGTTGATGATTGTATTAGCGTCAGTTGGTCATGGAGCCTGTAGTTGGAAATTGTAACAGTAATAGTTGGCCACATAAATTGTAGTTGATGATTGGACCCCTTCTCTCAAGGAGAATAGAGTTACAATTTTACATTAAACAAGGTAAAAAAAATGCAGTTGTTAATAATTGACATCTTAAAGTTACATAAAGATCTAACACACACACGGATAAAAAAAATAATATATGGAGGCACCAAAATTTTTATGTGAAAAAATCCTGAAAAATGGAAAAACTATGGGACCTAGCTCAGATAAAGTAATCCATTATAAAATTCTACATACACATGTCCACTATTCTCGTGAATCAGAGAAGATGGAATTAGAAAGTTGATAATCAAAGATGTAAAATAGTAGCTATAATTATAATTGGGCAACAACAAATGTGATTTATGGCTATAATACTAATAGTTAGCCACAAAGGCAGTAATTAGTTGCTACAAAGGTTTTAGTTGGCTATAAAGTCTGTAGTCGGTGGTCACAATAACAGCAGTTGGCCACGAAAACCGTAATTGAAGGTTGTAATAGTAGCATTTGACCACATAGGTCGTAATTGAAAGTTGTAATAATAGTTGGACACGTAGACCATAACTAGTGATTGTAATTTTGTCAATTGCCCACATAGGTTGTAGTTGGTGACTACAATATTAACAGCTGGCCACATAGGTCATAATTGGTAATTGCAATAGTGTTAGTTGGCCATAGAGGCCGTAATTGAAAGTTGTAACAGTAACAATTTGTCACGCAGATCGTAGTTGGTGATTGGACCACTTCACTCAGGGAGAACGATGTTACAATTTTACATCGGACACTACACTTGTCTTTATACAATGTAAAGAAAAATAAAAATGTTAGAAACAACTGATTTATTCTAGCTACGATGATCATAATCAGTAGTTGCAAGTCGGCGACTGTAGGAGGTGATGGTCGGCGTTGGTCAGCATTTACGGAGGTTGGAAGTTATCTCGGGTTCTCAATATGGGTGTTATACGTGACAACTGTATTTGGGATACAACATTTGCAAACAGAGATGAACGGTGGAAGAAGATTGGTGGTGAAAAACAATGACGATCGACGGTGGAAGATAGTAGCCAACGAGTGATTGTTGACGATGTTCGGTGGCTATAGAAAATGAAAGTTATTCCTTGAATTTTCAGTTCAAAACGGACTTTGGAATTCATTTTCTTCTCGTCTTCCCCCTCAAGAGAAGATAGATAGGCTATTAAATTCTTTGGGGTAGAGGCATTTTAGTTTTTTGACACACAACTTTCCTAACCGCCTGATCGGACAGCTCATTGATCCCTCTTAATGACCTCAGAATTCGACGAATTTAGACTTGTTGGATTTCTCTCATCGAGATGCTCGATTTTACTATAAATACGTCAAATTTAAAGTCTGTTTAATCATTTAATTGACGATTGAAAAATCTTCAATTGTACTTCAATAGCATGATCTGGGCTTAATTGGACCCAAATCGTATCAATTTTGGTATCATTGGGTTCGCCTTAATGAGACGGTCAATGTGATGATAAACTTCCTGAAAATGGGCCCTAATGATATTGAATTTGAATTTAAAATATTTATGGTTCAAAAATGCATAAAGATTAGTTCTTGATAAAAATTTTTTGATGGCATGCCAATTATTATCATGTAACTCGAGCGATTATTCAAAAAGGAAGTCATGCAAGCATTTTAAAAAATAAATAAATAATAAATAATCAAGCTTGTGGTATTTCAAATGGTTATGATTCTACTGTAAATTTATTCCACAAGAAGAAATATATAACTCAAAAGCTAATGTAATATGACTTGACAAGTAAAATTAAGCATTAGACGGTGAAGAAGCTACTATGTTGACGATTACGACACAGCATCGAAGGCATAATAACTTTCAGATAAACAAATACCTGTCAAGCATAAGACGAATAATCGATGCTTCCGAGAGCTGAAATTAACGAAGATGAAAACCTAAGTTGCAGAGAGATGGAGAGAGAACACGAGGCCAAAACCCTGAACTCAATTGAAATCCTTATGAGGAACCTAAGGTTTCATTTTGACCGGCTCTACCGGAAGGGGGAGGTTTTTTTTTAAATTTAATTATGTTATTTTTGATTTATTAATTTCAATAATTTTTTTATTTGGGCCAAATACGATTTGAAATTAATTCTAAATGTAGTCAAGCACAAATATATTATTCACAAATCATTTCAAAGACGAGTTTATTTTAAATCAAAAAATTTAAATAAGTCGAAGATAAACAACTCGTGTCATTTTATGGGTATATTTATTTTTCTTTATAATTTTTTGACACGTTATTTTTTTAATTCATTGTTATATGTTCTATCACTCATCATATATTCTCAAAATGCCATAATCTAATTTAAGGAACTTATTTTTAATGGATATTATCATAGTTTCTTTTATAATATTATTATTCATTAATTTAGTCATCATAATTTTACCACATTCCATTATGACATTATTATTTATTTATGTTTTTCTCATCTTAGATTTAACAATTTTATTTTAATATATATTACTCAAATTCATACAATATCATTGAACTATTACAAATTTTAAAAATGTAATTATAATTTTTTTAAAATTACTATGTTATATCATAATTCAGGACTCATTTCTTCATTTTAATAATCTAAATTTAAAAGTTTTATTCTTATATACGCATTTATTCTTTATAACAAATATAAGATATTTAAATCTATTTATATTCTTCATTTTTTAAATTACCCTTTATAATATATCCCTTCAATCGTCTAATAATTAAATGTTCTTTTTCTTTTTTATATAATTTTCACCATTGTTAATATTTTCATTTTTTTTAGTTGTTTTGCCAATTAAAATTAAATTACAAAAAAAAATAAAAAATACTCACTGCTTGATGCCTTCATTAAGTGTACATAGAAATGTGACTGCAAGAATCTTGAGGATTAATGAATCGCGTGAAGAAGGCAGCAGAGGATTGAGCCATCTAGCATCATTTTGGTAGGTTGAATCATCGTCCGACCGAATGAACACTCGCCTGAACCAAAGACATCATTTTGGTAGGTTGAATCATCGTCCGACCGAATGAACACTCGTCCATCTAGCATCATTATTGCACCAATGCACTATGACCAATAACAACTTAACCGATGCAAAGACATTCACAATATCAATTGTTGTTTAGCAGAACTCTCACCTAGCATTCTACGGAGATTTATTGTCTGAAGGAAGACTGTCTATCATATTACGGCAATGCACCATTTGTCTAATGGAATGACTCTTCTTGAGAACAATGAGTCATCATGATGAATCTCTGAAAAGTCGATCGAGAATCTTTCAGTTGGTCGAACGATTATAGCCAACCGAGCGAAGGCCAAACGACCAAACTGAATAGTTATGAATATGAATGATTACCAGGGTTTAAGAAAAAAAATCATAGTGCTTTCATATTTAAAAAAAATAATAGTAATTTTATCATAACAATTCTATCCATATGTTTACTTATTTTTGCCAAATTAGCATTTTTATAACAATTATAGGCAATTTGATTTTTTTTTTCCTCCAACATCAATTTAAACATTAATTTTCTAATAATGATCACACCCTATTGATTTGCTTATTCGAAATTCTCCCCAATTAAATTTTTTTCAAAATAATTTAATTTACTTTAATAAAATAAGTATGTAACAGCGGCCTTCAAAATAAAAGCTACGAAAAAGTTACCCCAATTCAAACGAATCAAAATGCCGGAAGTCTTCTATTTTCAATATGCGGTCACTTCTATTGACATGACATATATATGGCTAACAAAATTATGATTTATGAATTTAGGATATCCTTATTAAGCCAAGATGATTTCCATAATTCACATACATATCACATAATTCATATGGATACATATCTATTGAATACATATTTATCCTGCGAGGCATATTCAGAGAACGTAGCAGTCGGAACTGCTGGATAGAGGTAGAGAGAGATAGAGAGAGTAAATAGCAAATTGTCCATCGGGGGCAAACTAGGGTATTCTCGGGCTCTGTGACTCTTTTTATATGCTGAAAGTAGAGATTGAGGGGAGAGAGTTCTCTCTAAATAAGAAAAGTCTAAAGAAAATAGCTAAAAAACCCTTTACGCGTGATATTGTCTTCTTATTATAGGAGATGCAGTGAAAAAAGTATAAAATTACATGTTGTGGCCCAACTTTAGGTATGATTATTGCGTACGGACACCGCACGCTAATTTTCGTGCGGTGTCCGATCAAGACCGTGAAAAAGTTTAGAGTGGGCTCCACTCTAACAATTAAAAAAACAAAAAAATATATTTCAGTGGTCTTGATCGGATACCGCACACAAATTTGTGTGTGATTTCCGTACGCAATAATCCAACTTTAGAGGGGTTGTATAGGTATTATCCTTTTTGCACGCCTACACCTTTTTGCACGGCAGATCGTTGGATCGGCCGACTGAGCTATTTTTGGCCGACTTTTATTCGGACACTTGTCGGCCTTCGTTCTTAAAAGCAGGTCACTTCTAGAGAGGGACGACTGGTTGACTTGCCTATTTATTGTTCCAGTGTGATCTTTGGGGGAACAATTGAGAGTTTTGCGTTGATATTTGTCAGATAGTTAGGGTGTTAGAGTTTTATCTAGTCGTTGACATGGATATATGTCCCTTGTCAACCTAGGTGGCCCTTTGGTCGTCTGACCTTTGATCGGCCGGTCTAGTGGCCTACAACTGGTCGGATTCACGAGGACTTGTAGCTTTTCGTCAAAGGAATCTGTGTCATGTCGTTTAATCTGGATGGTTAGATTGTCTCGAGAATTTTGCTGACAAATTTTGGTGTACAATATCTAACATCTAAAACTTGATATTTATATTTATAACACTTGGAGTTATAAATCTATGTATTGAATTGAAATATGTCTAGTTGACCGTGCACCAGAAATAGAGCTTTGGGTCGGAGAAAGGAGGTTGAGAAAGAAAGATTTCCCTTGACGGGGGAAATTGGGGTGTTCTCGGGCTTTGTGGACCCAATTTATTCCATAGAAGATATATGTTACAAAGAAGGGAGATTGAGAGAGAAAGATTTCCCTCAACGGGGGAAATTGGGGTGTTCTCGGGTTTGTGGACCCAATTTATTCCATAAAAGATATATGTTACAAAGAAGTGATCTCAACCCCCTCATACATGATAAAGTCTTCCTATTTATAGAAGATAGGTGGGGCAAAAATATGAAAATTCTATATTTAGTCTTGCTTCAAAGTGAAGAACAAAGAACATTCTTGCCCAACAAAAGGAAAAACAGGAGAGATCGACCCGCAATAGAAAGAACAAAATAGGAGGGATTGTTTCCTTGTCCTGGGGAAGAGTTCTAGAATTGCTTGCTCTCCCCTCTAGAGTCGTTCACCCTGGAGTGGAGTCCTGGAGTTGTTTGCCCCTGTGTGGCGTCGAGCTCGTCACTGTCCGATGTTAGATTTTTTTATAATTTTTTGCACCCCTTGCGGATCTTGTCGCTGTTAGGTTTTAGATATTTTGCACTAGTCGCAAAACTTGTCGCTGTAGGGTGTTAATTTTTTTTGCACCCCTCGCAAAGTTTATTGCTGTCAGCAGTTACATTTTTTTGCACCCCTCGTAGAGCTTGTCGTTATCGTGTGTTACATTTTTCTTGCACCCCTCGCAGAGCTTGTCGTTGTCGGATTTTAGATTTTTTTCACCCCTCGCAGAGCTTGTCGTTGTCGGAAATTAGATTTCTTGGCCCCACTCTTGAAGCTTGTCGCTAGGGGTGGGAACGAGCCAAACACGAGCGAGCCCGAGTTTAATTCGTGTTCGGCTCGTTAAAAAATATTACTGTTCGCGTTCGACTTGTTTGCTTAGCGAGTCGAACATGAGCTATTCGCGAACAAAAAGTCATTTTGAAATTTCTAATCACACAATCGTAAGATGTTAAAAGTTGGGGAGAGATTTAACTTTTATTGTTTGTATTACAACATTATTTAAATATAATTTAATATATTTTTATTTGATTTTTTAATTAATAATTTTAATTGATTATAAATATTTATAGATTAATTAAAAAAAACTAATAT